TCAAGTACCATTCCTGGAAGGAAGAGCTCGCCAACCCATCCACCAATTACAGCTCTGATTTTCCGTCTCGACACTACCAAGTACTTGTAGAGGACGCTCCCTGTTCGGTTTTGATGTTTCCATGCACCCTTCGACAATCGCCGTCTCCTCCTTCTTGCTTCCCCCCGAATCACGTTTTGTGCCCGGTGACATGGAACCCCCAAGACTTCTCCCCCCCTCCCATGTACTTGCTGCAAACCACTACCTACCTACTCCTTGTAGGGAGTATTTGTAACCAGGCTGAAGAGATCCAGGGGCCGGGTTCACTGAGCCCGTACCTCCCTAGTCATCATCGTAGTCGTCGTCGTCGTCGTCGTCGTCGTCGCTGTCGCTGCTGTTGCTGGGTTCTGTTTGCCGATGCTTGGTCGCTTGCCCTTGTTGTGGCAGGTTGTTTTATTCCAGAAGCCCTTCCTTCTTCCCCGTCCCGTTGTACACTACCTATGCTCTGCCTGCCCTCCCGATAAACGCCAGGCCCCTCGCCTGGCCCTGCAATATTTGAAATATTACCCAGTAATTAAGGGGGCGTTTTGTTGATCGCCGAAATTTGATGCTCTTGTGAACCGTTCGGGCGGTAGTTCATTCGCGTTGTTTGTTATGTTTTTTGGTGGGTTTCCCTTTCTTCCCCTTGCCTTCCCCGAACACCGAACAGAAACCCTGCTACATAGCTATCGCAACCCAACCTTAGGTACGGCTCGCCCTGGCACCTGAGGTCGGCGACAACAGCTCCGCGACATCGGTGGGCAGGGGGTGGCGACATCCTGTCCACCATCATCCGTTATGGAGTTCAATCGCCGTTTAGATTTCCTGGTTCTGTCAAAGCAACTCATCATCATCATCATCAACATGTGGGCAGGCAAACCTCAGGTAAGGAAGGGAGGTGCTCAGAGGCTGAAAAGTTTACGTGTCCTGTCACTCTCCTTCTCCAATATCGCCCGATCGTTCGACCGGCGGGATGTTGCTTCTCAAAAGAGTTGTTTCCACTCCTCCCTCGGTCATTCATCATCCACCATTTGCACGCCTACCTGGGCTGGATGCGGTGTATGTGGGCGTGTGCACACCGTAAACTCACATTACCACCCATTCACTTGCGGCTTTACACGCCTCGTGTCGGCTCTGTAGATCTCTGCCAACACGCCATCTGGTACCACCCCTTTGCCCGTTCTGGTCACGGTGGTGGTGGTGGCCATTTGGAAATGATTACCTATTCTCCCCCCTCTTTCAATCAGTGTGAGTGATCAGTTGCCCATGAAACGCACCCAATCACCACCTTTTGGCCCCTTTATTGGAACTCACCCTACGGGCGTAAAGGTCACTTTCATACCTCCTCTTGATTGGGAGGCTCTCTGACATAATCCTCCACACAAAAGATCTCGGCTGAGAGGATCGGTATTACCAGTGAGCACAACGCCCCCTCAACCCTCTTGTAAAAGAGGCAATAACCCCCCCAAGGCCTAGGCGGTCTCAAGGTACAATTGTCATCCTGGGGGTGGATGTGGATGGATTCATCCCAGTCAAGAAGGGTAAAGGGGGGGGGGGAGAGCTTCGTTGTAGGGCTAGAACGGGGCTGGGGGCGCAAAGCTGGTTGACGCGGGCCCCAAACTCCCGAGTCATATCTGAAATGATCCTTCGAAACGCAATGCGCGGTTGATCGCTCTCCAAGGAAAATCCCAATCCTTTAGCCCTGCCACCAAAGGGCGAGCAAATTACTGATCAGCAAAAGTCCTATTCCACACTCGTTCCCGCCCTTATGTCAGCCCGTCGGGAATGTATTGGTGATTTGCTGCTCGCTGTCTCCAAGAACTCCAACGGTTTGGGTGCGGCCGTGGCAGGCATCCTACTTGTTCGTCCTTTTCGTCTCCAAGGGATCCCCCCTCCATTGCACATGTCCGTCCGCATGCAGAGCGGGCGGAACATCACTGGTAAGCGCTCTGGTTGGCTCCTGAGGCCCTTGGACGGAGAAACGCATTCGCTTCCCTTGATGCATGGACGGGGAACAACGAAAAGGAGAAAAAAGTGTTCGAACGATCTCGACGATCCTTCCCAGACGCAGGCCGCGAGCTTCTGGACTTTCTGGGTGCCATGGATATGCTGGTATGCAACTGATACAGGACCTGCAGAACCCCAAACACGCCAATGCGATGGGGATCAATGTCCCGGCTTCCGACGATCGAGAGATTTGGACAGTGGTGTTGTGCCGGTCGTTCACGAACTGCACGGCAAGTGAAGTTGTTGATTGCAGCGCATGTCTGCCTGGCATACCTGTGCCAGGCGTTGGAGCCATTGCCGCAAAGGGTCAGTTACTCTGATGAGGTGGTTGGTTTTCGCCACCGGCCAGAAACAGTCTTGTCGTGCCCAGGTCCAGACGTTTCAGTCAGCCAATGTAGGCGAATGTGTTCGTGGGTCAATTGATAGTCCAGAGCCCGTTCTCATGCTCAAGCAAAATCCTTCCAAGCATGCATGCGACAGTAGGAAGCGAGACCACGCCGACTGTGTAAATATCTCCATCGGCGATACGCTGTGCCACATGTCGTTCATGCTCATGTGTGGATGCAGTGAAAAGGGGGTAGGAAGAGACATTGAGCCTTCCTGCGAACAACGCAGGACCCGTGTGCTCCCACTCGGCAGTAGTTCTTTCGGCAGTTCCCTGCAACACAATTGGCCCGATCCACAGTCTAGCCGTCTTCGCTGGCCTTTCCTGAACGTACCCTTCCTCGCACTGGATCTCCTGCAGTTCCGAAACAGTTCCGGCAAAGGGGAATTTGGAGCCAAGTGATGGATGAATCTCCACGAGAAAATAACCGCCCAGTTGAAACTCAAAGAGCTGATAAGGGAACCCAGTGCTCCTTACCTAATTCACGCTTGGTATAGGTTGTGAAGACTGCGTGTCTGCAGCCTGCAAACGTGCCTGAAGCTCCGTCCCAAAAGAAGACAAATAATGATTACTCTCCGGCAGAATTCAAACGGACCCGACTTGCTTTACACGTCCCCTGGCGATGTTCCGGCTGTCCGTCTCTGTCGATCGCGGCTGGGTCCCTGGCAGCAATCCCAGCATAACGGAAACTTCGTCCTTCGAGAAGCATGGGAAAGGGGTCGCCTGAACTCTGCTGGCTTGGGTATATCGAAGGAGCAGGGTATGCATTCAACACCAAACCCCAGCAAACTATCTTCCTCAACGCTTCCGCTAAAGGACAATGCACTGAGAGGGTGTGGATAGGGGTGCAGTGTTGGCGAAAATTGGCATCTTGTCAAGCCTGAAGGCAATCAGTCCCAGTGTCTCTGTTTTCTCTCACCCCTTCAACCGTTTGCATCTGTGTTTGGGCCGTTCACAAGGGAAGGTCACTAATGGGGCTTTTGCCTTTCAGGCCTTCTTTGGCTGGCAACCTAAACGCAGTCGTTTGCAAGATCCAACAAAGGGAGATGGATGCTTTCCAAGATGTGTTCGGAGCATTCTATCTTCCGGCGTGTTACAACCGTCGGCATGAATGTCTCCATGGAACGCCTGAATGCTGTGGCATGTCGTCACTGGCTTTGAACTGAGACCGCAGCGGCACTAAGGCCTAGTTACCATATTCTTTCGAGGAGCGTTTAAATGCAAGGCCTAGACATACCAAAGCTTAGGGTCACAGGGGAGGTGGCCGTGGCCATACCTGAACTGCCTGATACAGTATCAAGTGCGAAACAGAATTGAGCGGGAAAGGGTCAAAAGGACGGAAATGAGATGCTTTGGCAGATAGGATGAATGCATTGCTGCCTCGCTCAACTCTGAGACGGGGAGAAGCAAGGATGGCGTGTCCGTACGCGTGCCTTGGGGAAATGCAATAAGAAATGCCTCGTCTCTTGAGAGATAGCGAACCTGGGACATGTTTCATGTCCGCCTGTTCGGGACAAGAATGTTGCACGATGGGGACAGTACCTGGTGAGATTGTTAATTTTTGGGTAGAATAATATAGAATACAAGCTAAGCAGCTTCGACAGGTATTGATACCATGTCGACGACGTACTGTCTCCATCCGTAGGTAGGACAAGGTGCTGCTCAAAGTGATAGAGAGCGAGCTGGACGGGAGCAGACGGAGCTGGACAGGTTTCCCCGCCCTCTCTCCGCACACTAGTGAACTAGTGTGCTGTTAAAAGCGAGTTTGCTCTTGCTAGCATAGCTAGCCTCACTTACTCTGCCATTCCGGCGGAGATAATCCGTCCCGGTCTTTTCCCTCCAGTTTCTCCATTCCCCCAGTGGCCACCCGGGTCTCGCTAGGCCAGCCCAGTCTGCGCTCGCCTACGCTCGCACCCGCTGCTCCCAAACTCCCACCCCCTCTCTTTCTCTCTTATTTCCGCTGCCCTCTCCAGCGCATCAGCCTCGCCTCTCTGTTAACCGCGGAAATATCTCCACGCCTATCCACTGCCCTTTCAAGAAAGCTCTGTTGTAGGGGCGCCGGCTCGAAAATACAATGGTTTCCTCCAGCGTCGCTACTGCCACTGGCACCGCTTCAGATGCTTCTCCTTCCCAATCGAACGGGCATGGCGAAAAACGCAAGGCCGAAGCTGACCCAACACCGGAGAGACAATCCCACACGAGGTCGAAAAGGAACAGATATATCTCGATTGCGTGGTAGGACCCCGGCGGAGACAATACCCAAGAGAAATATGATGATTGAGTATGCTGACATGGATTCTGTCAATGAAACAGTAATGAGTGCAAGCGGTGAGTTGCTCTCTCTGTTGCCCACCACCGGCTTCGTCGAGATGAATACTGACATCTGTCAACGACTGTAGGCGCAAAATCAAATGCAATGGGAACACTCCTTGCCAAAGATGCGGCAATCTGAATCTTGAGTGCATCTATGCACCAAACTGTTGCACCAACTCGCTCAAGGACTCTGCGTGCGTGGTCTCTTGCCTCGGCTGCTAAAGCCAGTGAATTTTTTGATTTACTGACCTTGGGATTGGTTAGTGAGTTCAACCAGATGCGTGAACACATCGCCGCACTCCAAGAGCAGGTCAATGACCTCTACGCCAGCCTGAACGAGTTGCGAAGCAAATCCGACTTCGCCTACGCCGGTGCCATCGACCCCCAGTTCTCCCATGATGGCTCAAACCGTTCCATGTCCGCCTCGGTGCCGCGTACGCTACCTCCCCTTATATCGCCAAAGAGAGCCCAGCCCAAGGCCTTGCCTCAATTCCATGGCCCGACAAGCACAGTGTATGGATTGGATGTGGCGAAATCTTCCCTACAGACCATGGGGATCACACATAATGCGCCGGACGATGGAATGATGTCTCGTGATCGGAGCAGGGCAGCATCGCCTATCATGATGCTTCCGGCTCATCCTAGTAAAGACCCTCTCTGGTTGATTGACCATTCAGAAGTAGTTCGTCTGTTGCGAGTCTATGAGGAAGAGATTGGCATCATGTACCCCGTGGTGGATATCGACAAGGTGCTGAAGCAGGCGGGTTCATTGTACAAATTCATTGGAGCATCTCTGAGAACCGGATTGGGCCAACCGGGTCTCCCAGGTGCAGACACATTTGACGACGAGGAGACCACTGTTTTGAAGATGGTTCTCGCCATAACTTTGACCGTCGAAGGACACGGTCGCAGTGAATTAGGCCAGAGATTCTTTGATGCTGCAAAACCGGCGACTGATCTGAAATTGGTTACGGCTCTGGACATCAAGTCTGTGGTCTTGACGGTCTTGACAGTAAGAGGAAGCCCGTTGTGCTACTAACGCCACGCGATCTAACATCCGTCAATAGGCCACTTTCTATTTCCAAAAGGACGAGGAGGCTCAGGCGTGGCGATTTATTGGCATCGCAGCGCGCATGTGCATTGAGATGGGCCTCCACAGAAAGGACTCCCTGCTCAAGTCCTTTACGAATGAAGCTGAATACCAGCAAGCCATCCGTATCTTCTGGACGGTCTACGCGCTCGATCGGCGCTGGAGCTTTGGCACAGGCATGCCGTTTGCATTGCAAGATGCTGACATTGATCCTGCTCTGCCCGAACCAGTAAGTTCCCTTGATCTTTCCCAAGTTCCTCGTTGATCCAGAGAGCAGGACGAGAGCCATCCATACTTGAAACACATTACCAAGTACAACCAAATTGCTACAAAGGTCTGGTACCACAACCTCGCGTACGAGGCGGGGCAAAATACGAAGAAGGACGAGATTGGGTTCCTGGATTACCAGATCCTGCAATGGTACGCGCAGTTACCTGAACCATTGCAGTTCAACAGTCGAGACCTTGCCAGGGAGAACGAGATACCTGGCCGTGGGGTGCGCCGTCTCCGGCTCTTGATGTATTTGCGGAAGAACCAAGCCCGAACCTCTATCTATCGTCCCATCCTTCATTCTGCTACCAGCATCATGGAGAACCGGCACTACGCTCAGAATGTGATTGACGTAGCTAAGGACACTATCAACACCCTGACGGCGGTTAACCAGATGTCTGATATCTACAAGACCCAGCAAGTGCTGTACAACTACTTCCTGGTCCAGGCACTTGCTGTGCTCTTCCTGTCGGTGGCCCATGCCCCGGCCGTCTTTTGCTCCCAGACCAGGCAAGAGTTCTACGCCGCAATTGAGATTGTCAAGGGTTTCAGCACCAAGTCTCATGTGTCCAAGCGACTGTGGCGAACCATCCGCGGACTGAAGGACATGGGCGATAAGATCGGTCTTCTGGCTCGCGGAGGCAACGGCATGAATGACGCGGAACAGGACGCTCACTCAGATGCCGCATTAGCAATGGCTGGACTTGCCGGACACAAGGTTGACTTTCAGCAAACCTATGGCAATCCAACTTCGAACCAGACGAACGGCAACCAAAATCAGCAAGAGCTAGGAGTCAGCCCAGATGACGCACTGCAAATCACGAATGAATTATCCAGTCTGTTTGAATTGGCAGGCGGTTATGGAGCTACGACCCCAGGGCCGGACACGTTCAACTTTGTGGGCGCCAACGGGGAAATCAGTATGGCAGAAGGATTCAATGCCTTTGGAAATGAGCCGGAATTTGCCAGGATCATGAACGAGTTATTTTGAGGATGAACGTGGCAATCGGGATCATATGGCACCCCACAGATGAGTTTGGTATCAAGGAAACGATCTCAGGATATGATGAATGCACAAACGTGATTGTAGATTGCTGTCTATCTGTCGCCCTTCATGTCCTCCTCTAGCACGCCCAACCTGCAGGTCCAAAGTAAGACATTCCTTGGACATTCGTCTTGAATCACATGACCATGTGCCAAGACCGCTTGGGTCGTGGGTGATTGGTCATGATTGGACTTCACTGCGACTTCCATTTCGCAGTCGGGCGCATGTCAAAAGTGCGGCCGTGGAATTCAGATCCAGCCGTCCTTCACCTATTATTCCTCTATGATTTCGCAATCAAGCACAGTGATTTACCTTTGCCTCAAGCACGCGGAACGGTGCACGTTGCCACGCACAAGGCAGCCCAAACTGCTCTTTGGGTGATTTCACCGCCTGCCTCAACCCTCCTCCTGAATCAACACAGCCCGACGAGGCACCTCCTGGGTCGATCCGCCTCTTCCCTGCCCATATCCCCTCGTGAAAACCCCCAGAAGGCAGGCAGCGAAAGCATCTACGAGACGTCACGCCCTGAGAAACAAAAAGAACCGTGCAATCCTCCTCCATGCCGCCCCCCGTTCCAACCTGGCACTTCTCCTGACCCCTCCCACCCCGCGCCAGTCCTCTCCCCAGTCTTCTCGTCGTCTTACCTTCCCCTGGGAAGCTAAGGCCTCACAGACAGAAGATTCTCTGTTGAACACGACTTTTTATCCCAATCTGTCTGCCGAACAGGCCTCCGCCCTGGCCGCTGGCCTGGACAGGCTCGAAATTGCTTCCGAATACTCTGAGTCCCTCTACTACCAGCAATTTACTAGCTCCTCCGCCACCCTCTCGAACGCAATGTCTCAAACGTCGTCCCAGAGTCCAGATAGCTGGATCGGCACCTTTTGTAATTTGGTTGGCCATGAATATTTCGCCGAAGTCAGTGAAGATTTCATCGAGGATGATTTCAACTTGACGGGGTTGCAAGCTCAGGTGCCCATGTACAAGGACGCGCTGGAAATGATACTTGATGTGGAGCCTTCAGAAACCAATTCTTCAGCACTGTCAGAAGAGGAGGAGGAAGAGGAGGAAGAAGAAGACGATGGCATTCTGGGAGACGAGTTGGACGAGCCAGCTGCTAATCAAAATGGGACGTCGAGGCGGCAGTCTGGCGGCCCCGCCGGCGGCAGAAGACACGGCCGTACCTCCTCTGATACTTCTGTCATTGAGTCATCGGCGGAACTTCTCTATGGTCTGATACACGCTCGATACATTACTTCAAGACCTGGGATACAGCAAATGATGGAGAAGTACGAATTGTCGCATTTTGGCTTCTGTCCTCGGGTGTATTGTGCTGGAGCAAAAGTATTACCTGTTGGGCTAACGGACACCCCGGGCCAACAGACGGTCAAACTCTTTTGTCCGAGCTGTTTGGACGTCTACACCCCTCCGAATTCTCGATTCCAGGCGGTCGACGGTGCCTTTTTTGGGACGACGTTCCCATGTCTGTTCTTCATGTCCTATCCGGATCTCGACGTTGGCCCGGTCAAGAAACGAAATCCTCGAGACCCCAGCGGACAGGCAAATGATGACCTTGAAGGCACATTGAGTCCCAACGAAGGAAACGCAACGCGTGGAGGAATAACGGCCAGTAGAAGTTCGAGCTTGACGTTGCCTCAAGCTCCACCGATCCCTGGTATCACATCTGCGAAAGACGAGAAGGCATCAGGAACTTCTGTTGCTCAGACCTCGTTACCTCCGCAACCAGCCACAATTAATGGGATCGCGACGCATAACCTTGCACCAGGTTTAGGAAAAGGCAAGATCTATGAACCTAAAATTTACGGCTTCAAAGTTTCAGAGCGAGCGAAGAGTGGGCCTCGAATGCGCTGGCTCCGCTCAAAACCTCTGGACATCAATGAGCTCGACGAAGCGAGAATATGGCATGAACGATATGGTGGCACCGTTGATGGTGATCCGGATGAGGAAATGCGGCGTCTACCGGGAGCGAGACAGGACAACGAAGACGACGATGATGCAGAAGAAGAGGACGGGGAGGAGGAAGAAGGGGATGACGGAGGTGGTGAAGCAGCTGACCAGGACGGAGATGCGATCATGGCCACTCAGGGTCAGAATCAGGTGGCCAGCATTCATAGTAGTCAGCGGGGCAAGTCAAAACGAGAGCCTGATGCCGATGGGGATGCACTGATGGCAAATCAAGGTCAAGGCGGCAATCGAGGCAAATCCAGACGAAAGCCGGGGACAAGAGGTCAGGGAGTCGACGTCTCTGTGCAGCAGAAGGGCGAGGGAAATTGGATATGAAGACGACAGGAAATGAAGATAGACGGCTGATGATGACGATGCTGACGATGAGAACAAGACTGAATGGGAAAGGGTGACCCTAGAAAGCCAAACGCCGCGAGTGAGCATACCAACTGACCGTGTGGATGAAACGAATAAGGAAAGAAGTGTGTGTTTGAGTTAGCAGTCCACCAAGGCGTCTACTCTGACAAGTTTAGTGATTTTCTTTCGCGGCAGCTTAAACAGCAATTCAGAGCTCGCGCACTGCTCCGGAGCACCTTTGCCAGCTTGTGAGAGGAGAGAACAGAACGTACAGGTCTTGGATTTTTGGGTTTCTCGCTCGACTCGCCAACCTCTTCATCTGCCGCACAGTCAGAAGTCGCTCGAGTGCGTTGCAATCAGAGGAAGAATCTGAACCCAGGAACAGGCAACAGTCATCAACAACAACAGAACCAGCATGGAGACAGGGGCCGCTAGAAGACACAGGAACATAATATGGCCAAAGATTCGCAGACGGCAACACGAGAGGAGCAATGGAGGTCAATTGACGTCCAGGATCAATCAAGGCCGGGAAGCAAGCGAATGAGAAAGCGCAATTGGAGTGATTTGGGATATTGATTCAGATTCTGGCAAGAGGACGGACTTGATGTTATTATTATACATGGTGGATGGATGGGGCAAGGGCAGTATCTGGCATCGACACCCTCCATTACATCCATCCATTGTCTTCACTCCTTCACTTCCTCTTCCTCTTCCTCTTCCTCTTCCTCTTCCTCTTCCTCTTCCTCTTCCTCTTCCTCTTCCTCTTCCTCTTCCTCTTCCTCTTCCTCTTCC